AATTACGTCTACAAAGCAGTGTCTCCTCCCTCCATCCAACGTTCGCACATCCCTCAGATGTTCCATTCCACTGGTCTCAGCCTTCAGCACATATTAGCACGGATGCCTCCCTCGTTGGTTGGAGTGCCCATATGAACGGCATGTCCATGCAGGGCAGGTGGTAACCAGGAGAGAGAGCCCTTCACATATACCTTCTCGAGCTCAGAGCGGTTTTCAATGCCTGCAGATATTTCCAGGACTACATCTGTGGCACTACTGTCAGCATACTCACCGACAACATCACCACAATGTATTACATAAATCGCCAAGGAGGATCATGGTCTCGAACCCTCTGTGCAGAGGTGATCCGCCTCTAGAATTGGTGTATTCTCAACAAGATCACTTTAATAGTATCCTACTTACCTGGTGCCAACAATGCTGTTGCAGACTCACAAAACAGACATTTTGCGCCCGACTTCGAGTGTGAAATCCACACGGACATACTTCAACGTATCTTCCGTCATTGGGGTTTCCCCCGATAGACCTCTTTGCCACCTACAAGAATGTGAAATGCTGATATTATTGCTCTAGGGCAGGCATTGGTCAGGGATCTCTAGGGGATGCCTTTCTGCTCGATTGGGAGGGTTCTCCCCTGTATGCATTTCCCCCGTCATGCTTATACCCAGGGTTCTGGACAAAATCAACATGGATGGAGCCAAGTTGATTTTCGAAGCCCCCACCTGGGCACTCCAACTATGGTTCCCCTTCCTCCACTGAATTTCCCTGTTACCTCCATACACACTTCTCAACCTCCCAGACTTGCTGTCTCAGGACTGCAGCTCCCTTTTGCACCCACAGCCCCAGACTCTGAATCTAACTGCTTGGCTCCTAGCTGGTTCTACCCATCTGAGGATCTCTGCTCGGACCAAGTCAAAGATATCCTGATGCACAGCAGGAGAAGCACTGGTCGAGCTACTTGCCTCTCTAAATTGTGAAGGTTTGCTTCTTGGTGCTCTATTAACCAGATTGACCTGCATCCATCACCTCTGCACCAGATCCTCGACTGCATCTTTTACCTGAAGCAAATGGGGCTGTCATTTGCTTCCTTGAAGGTACACCTTGCCACGATTACCACCTTCCACCACTGGACAGACGGTACTTCAGTGTTTTCCCTCCCAGCTACAAAGAGGTTCCTAAAAGAATTGACAAACCTTAACCTGCCTCACAGACCCCCTACTCTGCCCTGGAACCTAGACCTAGTGCTAGACTCTCTTACTCGACCTCCCTTCAAGCTTTTGGCCACTACGTCACTCCAGATGTTGATGCTCAAGTTGGTCTTCCTGCTTGCTATAACTTTGGCCCACAGGGTCATGAGCTTACAGCCCTGATGTCACAATCTTGAACAAGGATGGGGTGGTATTGCGACTTCGCCCAACCTTTATTCCTAAATTCTGCTCCGCATTCCATATTAACGAGCTGGTCATACTCCCTGCCTTCTACCCTAAATCACACACTACATCATGGGAGGTGATCCTCCATACTCTTGACATGCACCAAGCGCTCACCTTTTACATCAACAGCACCCGAGATTGGCATAAAATGGACCGTTCAATAGTGTCTTTCGCAGATCGATCCAAGGCATTGTCTTCCCAGCATATTGCCAAGCTCATTGTTTCCTACATCACCACTTGCTACTCTATTTGCAATAAATCTCTTCCATCACAACCAAAAGCTCATTCTATAAGGGCTGTAGCCACATCCATGGCCTTTTTACGGGGAATTCCCCTTTGGGACATTTGCCCGGTGGCCAAAGGGTTGTCCAGTGCCACATTCATAAACCACTGCGCAATCGTGCAATGATTGGCTGCAGACTCATCGTTGGCTTCAGCAGTACTTACAGCTTCAAACAATTCCTGATTCCGGAGCCCACCATCCGGATATTTCCGAGTACTGCTACATAGTCACCTACTGTGGAACACCCATGGGGACACTACGCAAAGAAGAAGAAGAAGAAGTTACTCACCTTGGTGCAGTAACGATGGTTCTTTGAGATGCGTGTCCCCATGGGTGCTCCTCTACCTGCCCTCCTCCCTGCTCCGGAATCTTGGTTAGGAAATTTCTCATTTCAGATACTTGAGCGGGTGAGAGGAACTGGCGGGAGCCGGACTGCGCGCATGAGGCAAAGGGCGCGAACAGTGGGAGACGATGACCACGCATGCACGGTCCGGCTGACTACGGCTATTGAAAGTCTCTGATCTGCAGCGCTGTGACGAGCCCGACACCTACAGTAGAGCACTCACGGGGACACACATCTCAAAGAACCATCGTTACTGCACCAAGGTGAGTAGCTTTTTCTTCCGAAATAGCTATTTTGAAGTAAGGCGTGTGTAGATGTTCCACTTCTGCTATTTCGAAATAGCCCTTCACCAGGGCATTCTGAGTTATTCCTCTTTGGGCTCTAAATCGAGATAGCTTATTTCGAAATAGCATGTCTACACTGCAGAGAAGTCTCAAAAGTAGTCCGATGTAGGCATCCCTAATGTAGATGTGCTATTTCAGAATAACTATTCCAGAATAGCTTATTCTGAAATAACTGTGCAGTGTAGGCATGACCTTAGGGTAAGTCTACACAGCAACATTATTTTGAAATAACTGGCATTATTTCAAAATAACTTAGTGCGCATGCAAGCTACACACAAGTAGCTATTTCAAAATAATGTTGAAATACTGTTAAGCTGGAGGACTTCTAACTTCGACTCCTGCAACCCTCATTGTATGAAGAGTAGGGAAGTTGGAGGAAGAGTGCTTTATTTCAAAATAAGTGCTGTGGAGACTCTTCCAATTTCAATTTCAAAATAAGCTATGCAATTGACATAGCTCAATTTGCTTAGCTTATTTCGAGTTAAGCCCTGCTGTGTAGAGTTAGGCCAGTGTTAGCTGTCAGGCTAAATCTGTAGAGTAGACTGGGGCTTAATCCTTCTGAAACAGAAATCATGCTCTTCCTTTAACTGGTGGGTTTGGGGATAAAGGTGAAATAAAACATAACTTTACTTTATATAGCATTTCTTATTCAACCCAGGTCTCAAAATACTGTATGCGTTTAAATCAGTAATACTCAGGCTGTGGCTCACGAGTCACAAGTGGGTCTTTAATGTCTCTTGTGGCTCCTTGCAACACACAATATTAAAAACACTGTGTGATTTAATTATTAACCAATGAGGATGTTTTTACTATGTTAACCAATTAAGTTATCAACTTGCACTAAGTTATTAATTTACTTGCTGTGAGAATAATATATTAAACTAAATATTTCCCCATCATACTGTTTAAATATGAATAGTTCTCATTAAATACAACAATGAATTCACACTACTATGTACAGTAGCAAGCTAGATGTTTTAAAGATATGAGCTGTCTTGATTAATCGTGTAAATGGAATTGTTACATTTTGTTTATTTTTTAAACTTGGTAAGGAAATACATTTATTAATAAAAATATCCTTTACAAAGGTTTCGTGTTTATAATCTATCTTTGGGTGTCTTGATATACGTGTGTGGAAAAAGAAACAATGAATGTTTAGACTGTAAAAGCAGCATTGTGGAAGCAGACAGCTTAGACTTCAGACTAAGCTGCACTGTGAACCATATGAATTAAATAGTCATCAGCTGTATTTCTAGTGACTGAAGTTTATCTTTGTCCTTCTTTTCTAGTCTGGCATGGGGAACTAAATCACCTATGCTTTTCTAAACCAGCAGAGCCAGAGCGACCAATGGATATTTCCATTTATTTATTTATTTATTTATTGATTGATTAAAGTTCCTTGTCCCTTATTATATGAAGTTGCATGGTTAGAGATTGCATGGTTTACAGAAATAGTCATGCTAGTCTGTTTCAGCAAAAATATTAAGGAGTCCTGTGGCACCTGTTCTTAGTACCCTTGGAAATATATGAGTGAATTGTAAATGTTTCACTTACCAATTTACTGAGTCACACTGAGCCACTATGTTTTGACATGAATTTTAGCAGGTTTGCCTTCAGACAGACATTATGCTGTTCTCCCATTAGCATTTTTTCACATAGTAACATTACTCATAAAATTTCTATTGGGGATAAAATGTCTTTGAATTGAGAAAACACATGAAGGCATGATGAGTCTCACCTATTTCAGATGTGGTGGGGGACCCAAAATATCCAACATACCTATGTATTACAGATGTGCAAAATTGTGACAGTTTTTCATATTATGTGTAGTCACCCAGAATAGTGAAAAAACTGTATTCAAGTTATTTGCACTGTTACATTAACTATTTCACATTTTCAATTTAAAAATTGCTTGAATTTGAAAACCATTTTACCTGAAAGAAATGATTTTGCTATAAAATGGATTGCTTTAGTCTACCTTACAAGTGATAAAAATGACATTATGTAGCAATGGTTTTGATTTAATAGTTCATAACAAAGGCCTCAATCCTGCAAATAATGGTAAGCATATGAAGTCACTAGGACTGCATATGTGCATAATATTAATCATCTGCCTAAGGCTACGCCTACATTACATCCCTCTGTCATAAAAATGAGGTTTACAGGATCTTTCGAAAAAGCCTGCCGTTTTCTAAAGTACCGAGTCTAGACCGCGGTTTTACTTTCGAAATGGTGCTTGTTCAAAAGAGCTCCGTGATGCGATTATGCAAATGAAGTGCGGTATATTTAAACCCCTACTTCATTTGCGCTTTTGAATTGTTAACAGAGGGATGTAATCTAGATGTAACCCAAGTGTTTACAGATTTGAGGTCAAAACATGGAAAAGGAAGGAATTCATCACATTTTGAGGAGTTTTAGCTTTTGTGTATTTTTTAACTCTCTGATACACACAGTATGCTTCTAACGATCCTTACCGTGCCCTTACAAATCTGTCCACCATATTTAATTCATTATGAAGGCATGATATATACCATAGTTATGAGAAGATAAAATGGTCTGTTAAGTATTTGACTAATTTTTTTTCCTTGCTGTCCTCCTAGGAACTAACTTCACCCTTGCAGAACTAGGAATCTGTGAGCCCTCTCCCCATCGAAGTGGCTACTGCTCAGATATAGGAATACTTCATCAAGGCTATTCCTTGAGCACCGGGTCTGATGCTGACTCTGATACAGAGGGAGGAATGTCTCCAGAACATGCTATAAGGCTGTGGGGGAGAGGGATAAAGTCCAGGCGCAGTTCTGGTCTGTCAAGTCGTGAAAACTCAGCCCTTACGCTGACTGATTCCGACAATGAAAATAAGTCAGATGAAGAAAACGGTAGGCCTTTTTCTGGATTATATGTTTTAATATACATCTGTATGAAAATATGGTGGTAATTTTGTTCCTTCATGAGTCACTGAAAGTTCTTTCTTTTCCTTATCCAGTTGCCTTAAAAATGTAAATAATTTAAAAAAAAAACCTTTTACTAGAAATGCCAGGAGTTAGATTTTATTTATACAATATTTTAAAATAACAAATGCTATTTTTATTCTCCAATAAGTGGTGTTTTTATTCTCCAATAAGTGGTGCGACAAAGAACATGATTTGAAAAATCATGACCTATATCTAGAAATATTTTCTATTTATTTGTAGGTATTTGCAGAGTTTTTTTTAATGGTGGCTTGGATTTTCTCCTAAAAATGGTTTCAGAGTTCCACATTATCTATGTGTTAATTTCTAGGCAGCAGTTCTTCATGTCTGTACTGAAGATGAAACTTGGAGTAGAACATGTAATTTAATGATGAAGAAACTTGTCAGAAAAAAAATCATATATATGATTTTACCCACAGCATAAAATAAGATTAATAGTTTTTAACATATTAAAACTATATTAACTCGTTCTCAATAGGACTCTTGTTCAGGTATTCTCATGAAACTTTATCTGAATTGAAAGCTTTATCTGAATCTAAGGTTTCTAATCATTTAATGGTAAGTACATGTAATGTTTTATAATGAAAATGTATGTATCAGAGTGATTCAAGGATACCTATATATCTATTTAGTATAGATTCTTAGCCGTTTACTTAAAAACACAGAAAAGGGTAAATTAAATGTAGTAGAAAACACATAGGAAATTATTTGTTGTGAATAAAAAATATATTAAGTTAACTAACTGCCACTTGAAATGTTTATGAATTAGTTAAAAAAATCATATAAAACAATTTATATCCTATTTTTCAGCAACATTTTCTGCCTACTTTTTAAAAAAATGCTTAATTAGTGACAAAGACTTGCCATGGATAGCAATGCAGTGCCTGCTGTCAGTAATTCTCCATGCTCGGATGTGGATAAGGCAGGAGTGTGTAAGCCAGAGTCACTCTAAAATAATCCAAAACAAATCACGTTTAATTCTGAAATTAGCCATTTTGGGGAGATAAAGAGGAACCAAAAGAATAGAATTCCACTGTGGCATCAATGAAGGCAACTGCTTGATGTCAGCTACTGCAATTGACTCTCTGCCCTGTTATCAGGGGGATTTTAAATTATTGTAGCTTTGCACATTCAGCACCTTCTGGTATTTATCTGAAAAAGGACTTTTAAGCTTTCTTCAAGGCAAAACTAACATTCATTCCCCCCACATCCCCAGTTTCAGCAGTATCAGGATGTTAGGAACTGCAATGCAAAAAATCAAATATTAAAGAAGATTAAAAAACAAATATTTCTCAAAATATTAGAAATCTGACCGCATTAGACTTAAAGGGTCATGTTTAGCCCTCTGTAGATAGAATAATAGAAGATTGGGGTTGGAAGAAACCTCAGAAGGTCATCTAGTCCAACTCCTTGCTCTAAGCAGGACCAGTCCCAAAAGATACCTGCTGCTTTCGCTGATTAAATGGAAATAGCAGGCATATATCTGAGGGAAGAAATTATCCCATAATCTTTGTATTTTCATGAATATTGTGGCATGCATTTCTTCATTGAAGCCATGGGGGGATTGTTTATTTGGTAGTAATGACAGATATTTAGAAAGTGAACAACCAGAGTGTTAAATATATATATAAAAGTACACTGGTTCATTCTACTGTTTGGTAAACTTACTTGTTTTGTGTTGTCATGGATAAAATTTATTCACTTAAATGGCATGACCCAGGATTCATTGAAGACCGTGAGAAAATTTCCACTGACTTCAGTAAGCTTTGGATAAGTCCCAATAATTGTTTTATGAACTAAGGAAGTTCTCTTTCCAGTAATATTAAAGCTCAAAGTTTGGGTTTGAGTTTACTCCTGCTGAGGTCAATGGCAGTTTTAATATTGGAAACAACATATTGGATTCTTGCTTGTGAACACTTTTCACCTGGGCTACTTCTGCAGTACATGGTTTTTGCACAAAAATGGTTGTTTTTGCACAAAAACCCACAGAGTGTCCACACCTCAAGTGCACTTTTGCACAAGTACATCGACAGTAAAACGGCAGAACAAGGGGCTTTTTGCGGTGTAGGTAAACCTCCTTCTACGAGGTATAACTCCTTTCCGTGCTACAGCTGTTGTGCAAAAAGTGTGGATACTCTGCAGGGGTTTCTTATGCAAACAGAGCCTATCCAAAAAAGCACAGGTGCTCCGTGAATAGCAATCAGAGCTTTCTTGCGCAAGAGTGTCCATGCAGTGTGAACGCTCTCTTGCACAAAAAAACATCGCAAAAGTGATGCGCTTTGAGGTGTGGACGTGCTTTTGTGCAAGAACTTTTCTGCAAAAGACTTCTTGCGCGAAAACCCTGCAGTGTAGACGTACCCATGGAGAGTTACAGTTTTATTAAATGCATTTCAAAAAGCTACTTTTTCAAACTAACAAAACAGGAGGCACACTATAAAATGAAGAGCAAGACAAAATATATCAGCTTGACTTTTGAATGTACAGTATTAGCATTTTATTTAGTAAGGCTTTTAAGATAAATGTTTTTGTATTGTTGGTGATAAAATATTCACACAGATGTGAAATGACTCTTATACAAGCAGAGGTGTTAACTTGAGTAAACTTCATAGTCTTCCTCTCTGACAAATTCTGTTTAGCACAAAATCAGTACCTTTCCACATCACTGGTTTTATGAAGTTTGGGAATGTATTATCATATAGATTGACAGTTGCCCCACTAGGGTTCAGCACCACTGCATGGACACTTACAAAGCCATCATTAATTTCTTTCACTTGTGCCCGGCAGTGGTTTCCTACATAATAAACACTGTGTCCTTCAGAACCAAATCAATAACCTGTGAGATATGCTTCTTGTGAAGAAGTAACAACAATCTATACTTCAAGAGAAATGCACTCTCCAGTACAGTTTCAGATTTGTAGGAGTCATAGACATAAAACAAGACATTTCTTGGTATGGAATTTTATACTTTGCCCCTAACCACATTAGTTGAACTCATGATGCATAGATGCTATTGAGTTTATTTAAAGCACTGCATGCCCTTTTTTTGACATGGTTCAGCTGCTTTATTGCAGTACACTATTACAACTCTAAAAAGGTAACAGTTTTGATACCAAGATGTTAATCACAAATTCTATCATTCAACTTCAAAATAATAAACTGTCAATTTTCTTTTAGTATTAAATCAATGTTGGTACTTCTCGGTACATTTCCAAGTAGTACAGAGGGAGCTTAATTGCTATAAATCACACAAATATTACTATTTTCAACACTTCTGCTAATTCAATTTCATTTACAGAAGGCTTAGGACTATTTTTTTCAATTTTGGAGTTGATGTAACTGAATGTTATCTTAAATTAGAATTGTGTGAGCCTTCAATTATTAACATGTGTAAATGCATATTGATAAATTGAAATAATTCAATGTAAATTAATTTCAATGTGCTGATTTACTTGGGCAGAAACTCTTTCCTGACAAAACAGGATACTGAAGATCCAGTTGAAAAAAACACCTTATTTTCACATTTCTGACACTTTGCTCAAATCGTTGGCCTAGAATTTAGTGTTGCATATTGAAATGTGACCTTTATAATGTTGTTTGTAACTGCTGTGATCCTTGTAAGAGAGGCATCCAACTAGAATGTGACTGTGTAAGGACAGAACCTTGTAAATCTCTTGTAACCAATGGCCAATGAGATTCTGAGCTTCAGGTTACCTGAATCATTACAGATGTTCATCCAAAAATGTACAGCGGACATGTTTAAGGAAGTTTGATTTATCTTACACATGGTGTGCCTTGTACTTGCTAAACAAAGAGAATCAGTTTTGGAGAGCCACAGATTCGAGGTTATGCACTCAAAATTATCATAGAATTCAAAAGCTTTGTGTTCTCTTGGTACTCTGCTAGATTTGTCTACTTGACAGAGAGCATTTTTTTTAAAGTCGACATTTGCTGACATAAACCTCATCATTGAGGTTAAGTAAACCTGGCTAGTTACCACAGGTAAATGATGATTATAATAGTAATCCCTATAGAAAAGTTTGCCATTGGGGTTGGGCCTTAGTAAAGAAATGTTACTAATTGCTTGGTATATAAATAATGGAAATTGATGAATGACTCCTAAAGGAACTTTTAGTCACCTTTCTCTCTAAAAGTTGTTATAATTATGGCTTCTTTTTAAAAAGAAGGACACATTATCAGGAGGAGAGTACAGGACTTTCCTGCAGCGGTGGGCAACCTGCAGTCCAAAGGTCACATGTGGCCCATTGGGGTTCTATGTGTGACAGCATGAGACATTTTGTTCACTGTCGCCCACCAGTTTCTGCTGGTTCCCATCCATATAACTTTTTTCCACCAGTTTTAAAGTGACAAGGGCACGTGAAGTGATGTGCATGCTGATTGCACACAGCATTGACTGTGAGAACTGTGTGCTTCCTCTGCATTAAACCAAAGCACTGCTATCGTTCATTGAGCACACCCTGCAAATTCTAGTAATGCAAGTGCAGTTAGCAAAACTACTCTATCCAGGGCTGGACCGAGCCATTCCGGCACCCCGGGGGCAGACAGTTTAATTGCGCCCTGGGTTGGGGGATGGCGCATACCCGGCACGTGGGGGAGGGCACGCAGAGCTGGAGGCAGCAGGACAGACATGCCCAGCCTGGGCTCGCCCAGCTACAGCAGCTGGTGTGCAGCCTGGGACTGCCCAGGGCGGGCTGAGCTTGGCCGTGCAGGGGCCTGCGGCCGTGGGGGGAAGGGCACCACGGGGGTTTACGCGGCCCCCACCCTGGGCGGCCCCTTCAGGGTGGCTTCTAGAAGCTGCTGCAGCCTGCAATCCAGGAGCCGGGCACACGGCACCTGATCGCCCTTTACAGCTGCCATCAGGCGCTCCCCATAGGTTGGTGCCCCGGGCA